TGGCAGGTTAAATACTGCTGCTTAAAACACATGGGAAAGAGCACAAAAGCGGAAGACCTGCTGCTGCTCCCAACCTCAGCGGGTCCCACCGTGAGCACTGAGGCACACAAGGAGCTCCCAGCATGGCTGGGAGCAGCACCAAGAATCCCGAATTCTGCTTTAACTGCCACAAAATGTGTTCTCCACAAAGTAATGAAGCTGCAGCTTGTCAGGAGAAGATCTGTGCATAGGGGGCCGTGCAGCAACCAGGCGTGCAGCCCTTCTGATGCACAGGGATGCTGGCAGGACCCGCCAGCACGTGCCAACCTCCCAGAGGCGCCTGAGCCACCTCTGCGGGACACGGGAGAGAGGGAAGGGAGAGTTCCAGCCAGAGGGTCTTGATGCTGCTCTTCTCTGCCTCCTCTCGCAGGGTAAGGGGGCTCTGCAGCCTGACCCACCGCTCACGGGGCTGTAAGGTTGGTCACACAGACTCAGCACCCAACCCGCCTGAGCCACAAGGCTGGGACACAACTGCCTGCCAGCAGCGTCTCCCAGTTTCACACCCGTTTCACAGCACGTCGCAGGAAAACACAGAAATGCATAAAAGCAACAACAGCTCCAAGTAGCAGCACCCGTGGCTTTGCTTTCATCTTCAACCAGGACAACCAAAGCAGGAAGGAGTAACAGGGAAGAGCAGAAGCCTGTGGAACCCTGCGGCGTTTTTACACCTCACCTCTCGGACCAGGGTTTGCAGGTCAGGGACAAGATTTTTTAGGGGGAACAAGCCACTCTTGCACACTTCCAGTTCGTTAAATGCTCACCCCAAAACTACCCTGAGAAGGGAAAGACCATCCCCAGTGCGTAGAGCTCTGCTTGCTGCAGGCCTGACCATGCAGCCCGCTGCAGGCGACCGGCCCTGCTCCTGCCCAAAGCTCTGGTTGGGTCCTGGTCGAAGATCGGAAGCCAGGAGGGACGGGGCAGACAGTGAAGCACGGTGGAACCGGCGTGCAGAGCTGCGTGGTGCTGCTTACCTGGCGGTGAATTTCCGTTCTTCATCGCTGCCAACCTCCAGCTGAGGGGAGAAAAGAGGGAGACAACAAGTTACCCACAGCTTGGTGCCATAGGACAACTCCAGAAGACCCTCAGGCACCCTGGCTGGTGCAGGGGCTGCAATAAAAGGGCTTTGGTGGCTATTGGAGGTGGGGAGAGGAGGAAGGGCTTATGTTTCCCCCCCAGTTCCAGGGGGGGATATCCCAATTTATCCCAATTCCAGGGGTAAATGAGACTCCCTAACCGTATAACCACCCAGCACCAGGTGATAAAGAGGCTGTCAGGATATTAAAGCAATTAGGCCCCAAGGGTCTGCTAAGCGAAACACTGAGCGGAGCGTTGGGCTCTTTCGAGCCGCAGAGATTCACTAAAACAATAACTTTTTCCCCGGATACTAGAGGAAACTTTGCACCTGGAAGCAGGCAGGGCCCTTCAGGCAGCAGCGTGGACCCTGGAGTATTATTTGCTTCCCTTACAACAGGAGCCTGCTCGCCAGCCTGCGCCTGCTTCCCCGGCACAGCACTTTCACACGGCTCTGTTTCCCGGCCACATCCTTCAGCTTCCAACTCTTGGGCAAGAAGTATTTACAGCAAATAAACAAAAACAGCGAATTGCAAAAAAAATTCTTCCAGAGAGAACTAGGCAGCACAGTGCAGGAGTGTCCAGCCAGAGCAGAAGGCTCTCCGTGGAGCTGCTCTGCTCGATCCTGGAGCCCTGCAAAGCAGAGACCTCAGAGATGGTCCCGAAATACGGAAAAACCTTCATTCCAGCCTGCAACACACTGGACACCACAGCCGACAATGCGGAGAGACACGAATCCGTAAGGAGGCAGCTCCCCCGGGTCTGGGGCTCGGGACACATTTCATCATTTACAACAAAACAGCCTAAATCGGCATCAGAGGGCTGCAATAAGAGCTGTTTCCAGATGATTTTGTAAAATGCAAAGGGAAGGAAATATCTCCATGTGAGACATTGAAGATTGGAGTTTTGGGTGTGCACAGCGTGCAGGGCCTGGCGCGTCCCACGTGCCCCTCACACGGAGGCCCGGCCGGCTGCCGCTCGCACCAGCGGGACCAAGTAAATGCGGAGCAAAACCTCAAGGAAGGGGAGCAGCGGCGGGGCTGGACACGGCTGGAGAGGGGCCGCCAGCCCCTGCGGAAGGGCTGCGGCGCACGGGGACACGGCGAACACGGCGGGGCCTCTATTTTTGGTTTGTTTACAGCGCGCCCGGGCCGGCCCCGCGGCTGAGCGCGCGGAGCCCGCGGAGGCGCCCGGCCTCCTCCGAGGGCAGATGGGAGCCTCGCGAAGGGCCCGGGCCTCCCTCGAGCAGCCCTCATGTTTGTTTGGGTCTGTCACGTAGCAACCGGGGGGAGAAAAAAAACCTTTTTTTAAACAAATGTGACGGTGAATCACGACGATCGCCGGGCGACACTGCGCCGAGGCCGCGCCGGGCTCCCTGACCTGCTTTCAACCCGCCTGCCCCTTTGCTCCGGTTCAAAAGGCTGCCGCGAAACCCAAATGTGAGACCCGCTCCCTTTGGCACCACATCGGCCCGGCCACCACCCGGGTCTCCCGCATCCAGGGCGGGCGGTGGCTCCAATCCCGACCCTGCACGAAGCCGAGGAGCCGGCACGGGGATGGGACGGAGCCGAGCTCACCGAGCACATCCAAGCTTCAGGTGCCCATTAACTATCTTCCTCCTTGGATAAACCCTCCGCACTCCTCGGATAAGCCCCCCGCACGGTCTTTGGCACATCTTGATCTCTTGAAGGCCGCAGCATCCGTTTTACAAAGTCCTTCGGGTTTACGAGCGGAGACAGGCTGCAAAACCTTGCTCTTAGCAAGGATGTTAGCAAAGAGTCGCCGTTTTCCGCTTTAGAAATCTTCTAAGAGCTTTTCACCGAGGCTCGGAGCCTGAAGGGCCTGTAAATCCGTTCTTGCAATAAACATCAGAAAGGATCAGGGAAAACGCTGGCGCTTCTTGATGGGATTTTTTCTTGCACAAAAAGCAACACAGCACGTTTGCTTTTCCAAAGGCCTGTTTATAACTTTACGGGGTTTTATGCCAAAAAGGACTGTTCAAATTGATGTCTCCCCCAGCTGCCGCTAAGGCCTGGCAAGTGGGAAGCGCTTGGCCTTGGAGGACACTGGATACAACGCCTGGAGCAACACTTTGTAGAGGGGAAAGGACATCTCTACAGGCACCCTAATGGAACAAATCACCCTAATAAATCACCCTAATGAAGTAAATAATCATGCCCCTGCATGACACAGCGCCCCAGGCAGGTGCATACGGGACGGTGGGGACGTTCGGCCGACTCCCCGTCCACCTGCACCAGTGCAAATCCAGCCTAATTCCCAAGCACAATAGGGTTACAGCTCATTTACATCCGCGCGCGTCAGATGACCAGCAGGTCTCGTCCCCTCCACCAGTTTAAGCTACAGGATGCGTCTAAAACAAAACCCAAGGGAATTCCTTAAAGAGCGTAGAGCAAACGCTGCTGGAAAGCCCAGCTATCTCCGCGATTTCCCCGTTTCCCCACGGACACAACACGTCCCCAGCGCTCGCTTGCTGCCTGCGGGTTCAGACCCCAAGGACACCCCCTTCCTCCTGACGGGGGGCACGGGGATGTGACTGGGGACAAACTGGGCTGTTCACCTGGGGGGGACGGGATGAGTGGCAGGCGGAGGGCAGGGAGCACCGAGGGCAAGGGAGGGATGTGAAACCCATTGCCCAAACCCAGGGCCCCAAACCCAGCGCCCCAAACACTGAGACCACCTCGGGAGGTGACTGAAGAGCCTGAAGGGGGAAAAGCCCCGCGGGAAGGGGCCAAACCCATCCCAACGGGCAGAGCCGGGCGGGCAGCGGCTGGGGACGGGGTGCAGCAGGAGGGCGAAGGGGGGACACGGAGTGGGGGGCTCCGGGGAGCCTCTGGGGCGGTGGGGCCGGGAGCCGGGGCTGTCGGTGGGGCCGGGGGTGTTGGTAGGGTCGGGGTCGGAGCAGGGCCGGGGGGCTGGAGCGGGGC